TGGAAAAATCATTTAGTCATGGTCTTTGAGCAGCACTGATGTACCATTTAGGTTCAGTATGCAAAGGTAAATCTGCTTCAAGACCTTTTCCAAGGAATGCCTTCACAATACTACTCTGGGAAAAATACGACAGTGAAGAATAAACACTTCTGCATTTACATGTAGACAGCTCTTGTATCAACCCACTATTTGGTAAAATGAAAAAATAAATACACTAAAAGGTTTAATTTTTAATTCTTTCAACTACTTGCTGAAGTTTTCTATGAATTGTGCACTATTTAATGAGATTTTGTAAAAGGACATAACAGTGAGATTTACGTTATTCTATACCTTGAAAACTACCTAGAGGTTATGCAACAGTAGGCCAAGTCCATCAAACTTCACTGCCCTTAGATACTTCCCAAGAAACTGAAAGCTTTTTGAGATGCTAGACAGGTGCTCTCATTAAAATTAGTACCTGAATATGCCTACAACATGTGCAGAGACATTCCTTTCTATACAGTTATCTAGATTATTATACTACATCCAAAACTGCAGTATCCTTTGCTCTCTCTTCACAACTCCAATTAGACAAATTCAAAAACACTGAAACATGTCAAATTAATTCTACCAGTCATTGAAGGAATAACAAACTTTCCTTTTAGACTATTTTTTAAGTGTATTTCTCCATATTAACATCATGTTCATTACTGAGTTCGTGTTTGAGCACTCTGACTACCAACTTGGCCTTCTGACCTGCTCCCTCATTTTTCTGATTATTGAGTTTTCTTGTGCTGCTTTGTCAGTTAACAGTCAAGTAAACACAAATACCTTTAGAGGTACAAGCTCTTAAAAACTTGACAATAGTGTTCACCAATATGCATAATATAATTTATTTCCCATAACTATTACATAATACTTTGGCTAAGTTCACATATCACAAAGTAGCTATGCTGAAATCAATGTGAAGTCAGGAACCTACATCATATTTAGTTAGATCTGGGACTCGAGGGCTGCGATATTTTTAAAAAGCAACCAAAACCAATAACCCCAAAATAAACATCTGTAAAAGAACTAATCCTGTGCACTTCAAAATCATGGGAAAGATTCTTAGCATCTTCACTGTTTATTAGATTGGTTTGTTATTTAGGCCCAGGATCTGGTTTCATTCCTTTTGCTCTGTTCCTCCTCTCTACTCAGCACCCTGCACAGACAGACATGTGCTACCTCCTAGTGCTTCATAAAGAAGCATGCAAAACAGAATCACTGGAAAAGCCAAACAAGATAAAGTTTGAAAATTAAAACTTCCCAACAGTTACAAGGTTCAAAAACCGGCCATATTTCCAAAGAGTCCTCAGGAATATAAAAATCAAAAATCTAAGTCTAAAGGAAGCTCTGGCTCCAAAATAAGGAGTGTTACAAGATCAGGTACACTCCTGAAAATGCCAAGTGTATTGCAGTGGAAAGCTGTAATTCAGAAGAGTTTTATTGTTTGCCTTAACCTCAGGAAAAAAAAACAAAAACAAAAACAAAAAACCAAACCAACAAACAACTTTACTGAACTTTAAAATAAAATAAGAAGGCAGCAATATTTTGGACATTTTATAAAGAGAACACTTTCCAGAGTGTTATGGATACAGAATGCAGCAAATTAGCTACCACAACAGAATACAAGCCCCTAGCATGACTTTAATAACATTGTTTCAAAATGTAGTTATCAGAACATCAAACGTTGAAGAGCACTATTTAGATATACTGTCCCTAAATAAAACTCATATATTAGGCAGCACCCAAATATTATTTAAAAAGCTATATTCTGTTTTAGTTACTGGAGCGTTCCATTTCTGAATCTTATTTATTGACCAACTAGTGGCAGAAGAGTTACAAATTACAACGATGTGATAACTGACAATTTTTTTTTAATGTAGTTAAAAATATGTATGTATTAACCGATATAAGCAAATGTCTATTTGCACACATATATATGCTACTTAACTAATATAGTATTATTTATGTAATGCATGTGAACAAAGTAATAGATATCAGCCTTTCTTTCAAGTCTAGAGACCAGCTGTATAGGTTGTTAACTGTTAGATGTGCCTTCCAAATTCTAAATGACAAAGACCAGTCTAATCAAGTTGAAACACCTCTACTGAGCCCTAAAATTTGGTTACCTAAAGTTACGCACACATCACAGCAGCGTGCTTGCTTTGCAGCAAAGCTCGCTCCCTCACCCCTGCTTACCAATGCTTTGGTTCACCTCACAGGGGGGTCCTTGGAAGTCCTTGATTAGCTAAAGCTAATGCCAAGTCTTTAATTCGACGTGAACCAAACTTTGAAAAGGTGAGATCAGCCAACCAGTGCCCTTGGCCTGCCAGCAGCCAAGGGGCAGCTCTCTGGCTCGGCTGGCACGGCAAGGCAGCGCAGGCTTCCCAGAGGCATGCACCAGCCTGTCCGAACGAAAGTCCCTTCCAGCCCTACCAACAACCAGGTGAACAGCACAGAAGGCATCTTGACTGGCTGCCCTTGCGAGAGGTATTTTAAGTGGCTGGTCGGGCCAAACAGCACACACATCCTTCCCTGCTGGTCCTCTCTGATCAGCAAGAGGAATCTGCTGCGTGCGTGTACGTTTGTACACATACGAGTAGCACGGTGGTGGTGAGTGGGGTGGCTGGAGCTAGGAAGTGTTGGCATGGGTATGTTGATACTCCAGTAAGAAGGAGAACTGTTATGATAAAATTGAAGTCTTCCATGGACCAACTCAGTCACTGGAAGTGGATTCCCCCAATGCAAATGTGTTATGCTTAAATATTTAGTATTGTTTTAGGATTAAGATGCCAAGAATCAGCTCTGCATAGTTGCCTACGCTGCCAAATATCCCTGACTTACAACATTGGCAAGGAATAGCAGTGAAATACAAGAGGTTTACACTGTTGCTCTTATTTGTTACCTGAGCAGCAGCAGAAGTCAATGTATAAGATAGCTCACAGAGCTGCAATGACTCAATCAATAATGCTGCAGAACAAACCACGGAACACAAATTCCTACTAGAAACAGCCACATGCAAAACACAAACAGAGCTCCGTCCAGCATAAGCCCAAACAAGTCTGAAAATGGCTTTACATTGTTTTTACGCTCCTGCCTGCTGGGGCACATTTATCACCGAAAGCAACTTCTCCTGAAGTACAGCTCGTCTAATTTGCAGTCGCTGCCTGTAGCGCCTTCCTCCCTCTCCTACGCCACGCCAGGGTCATTCTGGGAGTTTGTTATCACTGAAGCACAGCAATTACTAGCTATGCCCAAATACTACAGTCACAGCACCTATAAAACGTGTATAGAAAGGCACAGAAAAGTTAAAATTGCTCTTAACAATTATTATAGCATGGTAACTCCCCAGCAGAGAACTAGGCCTTTCTTCCATGCCAACACTTAACAATTTCAGCAGAAATAGTCCCTACAGAAAAAAAAAACAAAACAAACCTGCTCAACAAAGTTTTTGTAATGCTATAACTGTCTAGATTTTAGAAGGCATACAGGCAAAGCTACCCACATATAGTTAAGGGAATCTAAAAATTATTGTATCAGGCATAACTGCATCTGCCCCAAAGCGCACAGCTTTAGGGTATCACCTTTTAAATCAGCATAGTTACAGCAGTGCACAAGCCAGCTGTAACCCAGTTCAAAGGACAGGGCCAGAAAACAGCCTACCATGATGGAATGAGCAAGGTGAGAATCTGCAGGTGTGTTCACTGATGCCATCCCATTTGCTGTGCTGGGGAGGGTTCTGAGGGAGATCTGTTTGTAGATAATTTAAATTCTCCAAATAGTGGAGTTAGATTGATTTTTATATAATAACCTGCTTACAAATGTCGCCATTTCCCTCTCACTCCCTCTCACATACACACACACACACTTTTGCAATAGATGTTTTAAAGTGTTTCTATGGGAGTAAATATAACAGATAGTGAACAGCACTGAGTAAAACTTTCTCAGTGTACAGCTACACAATGAGATGCATATTAGCAGGTTATATGAATGCAAAAATCATAAAAAATTGGACAACTTTTAGTCATTTCAGAATATATACAGCATATAGCATCAGATATTTCAAAAGATACATTATTTGCAAATGTGTTATTTTACCGCATACAGAAGCTGGGAATATTCATAGAATCATTTAGGTTAGAAAAGACCCTTAAGATCACTGAGCCCAATCGTTAATCAACTAAACCTAGCTATTATTCTGATTTCTGGTATGGAATTATTGTATTTAGTGCTTCTACAGCAAATAATTATTTCACTATTTCAAAAGCTTCAAAGTTTTTGCACTGAAAGAGCAATGACAAAGTTGAGAATTTTCCTTTCTAAATGGCACGGTTTGGGCTGCAAATATTGTGCATCTTTAACTTGTTTTACAAATACATGATCATTCAATTAGCTTTCTTGACTTACTGAGCAATCTTACTCAGGCTGTATACCTCTGAATAGAGAGGAAGGCTTGAGCTGACAGAACATCTCCTAAAACAAAGTTCTATTATATACTATACCAATATAGAGTTCTCATATACTAATTATATTAAGTATAAAAAGAGAAAATCAGGTGAATGTTTATATTGACTCTTCTCTACAAAGTAATAATCAACACTTTTATTTAAAAGTTTCTTCTAAAGGGACAGTACTTTTACCTAAATAAAATATCTTTTTAAAAACTCCATCTTAAATGTCTTGTCCCAAATACGTAATATTTCATAAACAACATTCGCAAAGCTATTTGACAGATTTTCAGCTTGGTAGAGCAGCATAGCATTAGAGAATTCAATAGATCTTTAGCCATTTCAACCAATTAAGAATCTAAAGTCAGCATTGCAGAGACACACACAGGCACATCTCCTACCTAGAGGAACCAGGGCTGTTCTACTTGTTTTAAAACAAGTAACATGTTACACTGTATAACACTATAGATATAAACTCTTCAGGCACACAGGGCATTGCAATTCCAAGAAGTCAAAATTGTATCTTACCAAGACTGAACTCCAGCTTTGGCTCATTTGCAATTCTCTGAATACCTTTCAAGGTTAAGAAAAAGAAAAAATTATTAGAAATAATTTTATTTCAATACCTAGCTTTTTAATACATAGTAAAACTTTTGCATGCCTAATTCGTACCTCTAACTACCTGCCATTGCCACCAGAGTAACATTTTATGTTACAAACTTACAGGAAGAAAGACCTTTGTGTAAAATACTTGCCTGAAAAAAAAAAGACTACTTTTGAAGACCACTTCTTTCTTTTTAATAGAAACTTACTATTTCTGGTAAAGGAAACTAAGTAAAAAAAACCACCAGCCTTTCATGGATGGGTACTGCTAAGATGTTCAGTCATAACAACTGACTATATATCTGTTGGAAAAATATTAAATCTAATGGCCCATTTTTAAGTAGGTATGTCATCCCATTAAAAATGGAAACAAAAAACATGTTCTGTGAAGGTATGTAAATCAGGTTAATATAGTAAAATATATCATCCTGTTATTGACCTACGTATAAATTGTAAAGCAACAAAGCCAACTTCTTATTGTTGGAAAATAGCACATGAATCCCTTTTCTCATACACCAAGAACAATAAGAACATTTTAATTCCCTCCATTGAGGAATCATGTTCTAGTGCATATTTTACTGCAAAGGACAATATTTTCTTATTGCGCTAGGCTAAAGGAGTGCAACAAGAGAAATGTAGGAAGGATAGTTAAATAACACTGAGTTATTCACCCTCTGCAGGAAGTAATTGGATCAAATCCACAGTATCAATGAACCTTGTAGAAATTAAACTGCCTCTTGTTGACATTTATGTATTGTCTCCAGTAAGCTTTATTAAGCATTTGCCGGTATTGAAGAAACTGGTCAGATGGATAGTTGGTACATGAACTAGAAAGCAAGATTTTTGTTAAAAATTAAAAAAAAAAAAAAGAAAAAGACAACCACAGAAAAAAAAACATCAAAACTTATAGCTGTTCTTGCTCCATGACAACTTGATGTTGCTAAATAGGACTAGTTTCATGCTGTTCTCATTACTATAGCTAATCATTCAAGCCTACGCAAGAAAAATTACAGCTGCAGAGCTTAGAAAGGCTTGGTCAGTAAGAAATAACAAATAAGTGGGGGGTTTTAACTTTTTTGGGTTTTTTTTTTCTGTTAATGGAGTTATAACAAATTTCCAAGTTGAATTCTGCCACTAGCAGAGTCAGCATGGAACACATTGGCCTGGAACACCTTTATGAATATGATACAGACTTGATTAAGTAACTGGGCAACTGAAATACAGTGCCCACACTCCAGTGCACCAAACATGACTTAACATATGGCTACGTGCTTTCAAACACCCAGAGTGCTTTTATATCACAAAGAACAAATCTGTGATACTAAATTAAGTATCACTAAAGCTTTATATATTTATCAAAGTTATCAGGCAATATTTTTAATAGTAGTCCATATGTTCATATAGGACACAAAAAAGGAAAAGAATATTGCTAACTAAACAATTTCTAAGTCTCGTGAAGGAAACAGATTAGAGAGAAAAAGTCAGAAACACAGTAGTCACACATTTGTTCCCCTGAAGGTTATCTGCATAAATCAAAATATATCAGTTAATGACATTAAAAGATAATCTTCAGTTTACTTCCTCTACTACTGCACTTTGTCAAGCAACAGGTTAAACAGCACTATGTACCCTGGTTGTTTCAGTATCTGTACTGCTACAGAGAATGGACCATTTTTATTGCACCACTCAATAAAAGGAGCATATGCGCTTACTCGTAAACTGTGGCTCTCCTAGGCTGTCTATTTGGGGTGAAGGGAGAAACTGTCGCGCTTCATCTGATGATCTCTCCTCTTTGATTTCCATGATCAACCTCCGGAGCTGCTGAATTTTATTCTGCAAACCTTCCGAGTTTGCCTCTCCCAGTGCCACAGCCCAAGATTCGCAATCTGGCTTTGATGCGGCTTCAACGTAAAGATCTGGTTCTCCGCTCTGAAACTCTGCACTCAGAAACATAAACACAGTTTTTAGGAACTCGGATTCAAAAGTGGGATCATGAAAATATTGACGTCACACACAATTAAAACCACCACACACGTTTCTTTTCATGGTCACAGAACCAAGCATCCCATCCACCTCATGACTTTCACACTCAGTGCAGTACTAAGTCTATCCACAGAGTGGTTCCAAAAGCAATCAACGTATTACTAAACTAGGTGGCAGAATCAAACCAAAAAGGGAAATCCTTTTTTAGCACAGATTTTGCAGCTTAGCAGGTAGCTATCAGAGCTGCTAACCTGAAAAATTATTTGATTTAGCAGGGGCAGCAGACATGGTTCTGACAGATAGTGGGATTCACCAGAATGAATGTGTCCATCATTTCATTTATTAGAGCTCTCCTTTATGCTCAGCCTTTCATTCATCCTTGCCAGAATACTGCTCACCAACACATGAAGATAATTTAGCATGACATAGCTCCTCTGTGAAGACTCAACAGGTTGTACGTGGGAGCTTCTGACCTCATTACTATCCATGTGTCATTTGCTTTCCTGCCTCAAGTCTAATTGTTTAATGATCAAATTTTCTAAGAACAAAAGAAAAAGGGGTGTGAGTGTGCGGGGAGAAGCTGAAGCTCCCAATGAATCCAGGTAACTAGCAAGGGTCCACTGTTTGATTAAGATTAGAACAGGAAGAAAAAGCACCTCTTAGGCATTTAAAATTCTGCGGTATAGATGGCTTCACAGTGTCACAAATTCAGTGTGACATTTAGTGTGACACACACTGAGAAGAACAAACTGGGAAAGAAAGAAAAATCAATGCTTCTTTAAAAGAAGTTACCAACTGATTTAGAAACATGAAACTCTATAAAACACCTGTGCTATTGTATTAATAAGGACTGAGGTATTTGGTTGGACATCAAAATCATTTTGACCTAAATAAGCTGTAGGCCATATTACTGGATGAAACAGAACACTTAAATGTTTTCATACTTAGTTTGAAAATCCAAGTAACATAGAAAAGTTTTTTCAACACAAAGTGAACTTAAATTCCCTTTTACTAACTTGAGTATCTAACCTTGGGCACTTACCCACATGTTATTCTAAGCCCGTTTGCACTTCATAAACTGAGCATCTGCCACTTACAATTAACTCTCCTTTTATTGTTATGGGGGGAACAAAAGATGCAAACCTCAAGTCTGGAAGCCTCTTAAAACTGTGCTGGCACAAATCCCGGTAGAGGTGGGACAAGTTTTTTGTCTGGGGGTGGATCTAAGGAAATCTAAATATGTGGCTGCAGGAGCTGCTAAGAATGCTGGATAAGATTTCACGTACCAGTTGGACTACAGAATTCATGAGGAAAGACTGGAAAGAAGAGCAGAAAGTGGGGGAACATCTTCCTGGCTTCACAAGCAAGTTCAGAAGTGCTAATAAGGTTTCAAATTCTTGCCTCTAGCCCTGGCTCAGTCAGAAAACAAGGTATTCTGTTCTTGAGACAAGAATATTCAAAATCTGAGGGAGCTGCAGATATTAATCACATCCTTGTTTACACACAAAATACGTACTTGAGTGACCAAACCTGAACAAGCTTAGCTTTACTGTTTGTCAAAGATGACTTTAGAGAGATAGAACTTTCAGCTGTGAGCTCTCGTGCGATCTGCTACTGCATCTGAGCCATAAGGGCAGGAACCTTCAAAAAAATCAGTAATTAGAAGAGCTAATAACTTTTCTGCTGCTCTGGTAAGATCTGCAACAGCACAGTGGTCTACTCCCTTCTGTCACTAACCTTGGTGATTCCGAAATTTGTTTTTATTTCATAGTATTTTGGAGCTACCAGCAGAAAAAGGAGAAAAAAAAAAAAAGGCATGTAGTCAACCAGCATCAAGACCAACATTAACCAGCAATCATTCTAATTTAAAAAAAAAAAAAGTATACGTGTATATATTTACAGGCATGCAAAACACCTTATACCATTCAGTCTTCAAAAGCACAGACAATTTTAATAAAAGCAGTTAGGATACCTTAGCTAAGGAAAGAATGTCAGACAAACAAGCCAACACTTAACAATGAAAAAACAAACATATCAAGGTGTTCTTTTCTTTTTACTCCTTATTTTAAAATGTAAATAGGAACAGTGATCTTGTCTTGAAATATCCTACCACTAGCTAGATAAAAAACATCTGCTTTGGGAGGAAATCAGTGTTTTGCAATTGAAATCATGCTATTTATATTTACCTCTTAGCTGTGGAAATCAGACCGCCAAGCACAAAAGGCATACTGAATCACCCTTAATATGCAGGGAACCAGAAATGGATAGTGAAATGCAGTAGGAGTGGGCATAATCGACTTTATTCTGATCTAAGAGGTGCTAGTTTTAAGATCTGGAAATTCATTCTAAACTATCACTTCAGAACACTACAGTCTGCTATATTTAGGTCTTTGGAGTACTCTGACAGCGAAGTTAGATTCTGAAAAGCATATGAAAATACCTGAAAAATATTCTTCACTACAAACATAGAAAGTTTTATTCTGCAGATCCAACAGTTGGTGACTTATGTATTTCCTGTACTCTTTCAATGCATGTTTACATACAAGTTAACATACTAGAAGAAACACAAATGATGTCCAAAATGCACATTGGCAAAAATGTCTGTTACAATAAAGGAGCACACAGGTTTATTTATATAATAAAGATCATCATCTCTCTGCTCTTCTCTCCCAGATTGCTATGTTGACTATTACTTTAAATCAGCTGCATACAGTAAACACTAACAAGCTCAGACACTTAATTCCAAGTTTCAACAGGGAGACAAAACTTAGCTGAAATGAATCTTTCTGAAAATACAACTAACAGATCCACAAACGTAATTAAGGCCTCAAATGAGCGGCAGACATATCAGCAGAATTATATTTGTATTGAAACATCTTAAACGCAGGAGTATTTCACGGATGGACAAAAGTACTTTATACTTTACAGCTAAGGACTTACTGTAGAAAATACAAGTACACAAGCATCCTTTGTCATGCTGTTATTGCCGACATGAGTTACCACGAGTTAGTTTTGGAAAAAAATCCTGACCTTTTGAGGACATTTACTGTTGACTTCAACAAGACCCATGCTTGGTCTGGTGTGCATTCCTAGTTTTACTGTTATGATATAATTTTTGATTAAGAGGACATGTAAGATTTAAGAACATACAATACTAAGAAAATTTTCTATCTACTTGGGAATCTGCAATAGCAGAACAGTAATTTTCATCTTAGTGCTGGACATCCCCAGTGGGGTTTCAAGTTCAGTAGCATAAACCCAGGGAAGACATTCATGCAGTTAAACACAATGGTTTTCTTTGCAAAACAAACATTCAATTTACTAGCCCTAAATTCAAAGCAAAATGGTATATAGTTCTATCTTTATCTCTTTTTCTTCTTGAACTGAAGAAGGTCTACATAGCTACAAAAACCAACTTAGGTCCTTTTGATAGCTTGCATAAACTCAAAAAACAGAGAAAGAGGGAGAGATTCTGAGATCAGACACTGGGATACTGATTCTGTAACCTACAGTTTCCTGATACTGTTTGTCCTGACAATAGATTTGTATATACCTAATTAAAATCACTATCTATCTAAATCAACATTTTACAAAGCTTTGTCCTCAGCTTTTCCCAACGTATCTCATTTGTTTCCTGGAACCTAGCAGAGTGCTTAAAAGCAAAAGTACTGCTACTGTTTACCTTACTACAAGAACAAATCTAAAAACGTGTGAAGTCAGACATACTCTTCATATTTGCCATTAAACACTAGTCTGCAATTGCAATAAATAACCATCAAAATGTTTCTTCTTGTTTCTCCTACGCTGTTAGTTCAGTTTTGAACTTTCCAGTTGAAAATAAATTAACGGTAACAGCTACTAGCCTCAGGAGGGGGGAAAAAAGACCCAAAAAAAGGCCAAATATTACTAATTCCAATGCATGAAGTGGTCTCTAAATGTTAGCACTGACACTTCCATAATGCAACTGGCACTTGGATAATGCTGCAAAAACAAGCTAAGACCAAGGCATCACTGGTAAAATCTGTGGGAACAGATTCTGTGGCAGAGCGTTCTGTGTTTGCTCTACAGCAGGTAGGTGTAGCACTTGGGACTATACAGACTCACATCCACTTGGCCAGTAGTGTTGCTATACACGCATTTCGAAGGGAAGTTTTGCAGTCTAGAGACTGCCCAACTTCCACAAGTGTGTAAAACTGTGTTCAAACCCTTGACTTCCTGTCCCTTGACACATAAAGTGGGCAGAAATAGAGACGTCACTTACGATGACATTATGGAAAGCTAATGTGGTCCAGTGGCTATACTGCTTCAGGCACCTTCTGAAGTGGAGATACCTCACTAGCAGGTGCTTAGCGGCCCTTCCAGCAGCTTGCCCACCTTGCTTCTTTTCCTTATTTCAGTATCAGAGACTCAAATGGAGGCAAGAGCTGAGGAAGCAGATAGCGGAAAGCAAACGTGTGTGTTCATAGAGCCTTTTCTGATCAGGACTCTGTTCACCGACAACTGTTTTACTGAAGTGTGATCTCAACAAGACTTTCTCCCACAAAAGCCAGCATAGAAAGTTACAGTCCCATAGGACTTTTGCAGCTCAAAGAATTCAACCCCCTTGCTCAAACAGGAGTGCTATCAAATAAGGAAATAGCACAAAGAGAAGCTGAGATATCCCCAGTGGCACTGGAAAGCCTTTTCTACTCTAACCCAACTGTCTAAAGTCAGAAGTGTATTTTGGTGTTAGTTCCATCATCCTCAGATAACTTTTTTTGTTCCCATTGTTTTGTAGTAATACTTAAATTTCCCAAGTTTATCAATTTAAACAATAGCAATTGCCTCTTTACTCTGCAAGTACTTTGATATTTCAGTTGTTTTAAAAAATGAAAACAAATTTCTTATTAAAAATGTCTTAATGATGTCCCTCTTGATTTTTAAAGTGTATTTGATGGTAACTTTCATCATAATG